TGAAGGGAGAATAGTGGAGAGCAGAACCCTACCCAGAGAGGCATCGATCCCTGAGATGGAGGCAGAGATGATGACGTGGAGAGATTGGGGACTCAGGACCCAGGGAGGAAGAGGAACTGTGTGCTGATGAACGGGGGTGGGGACGTGAGGGTGGGAGGAAGCAGGCTTATGGGATGCACTGTTTCGTTGATTGGTGATGCGTGGAGGGGATTGTAACTATGGCAATGAAACAATATACGATAAGATGAATGTAAAACTAATGTTCTCCCATGTAAACTGCCACTAATTCACAACAAGACTTTAAAAAAAAAAAAAAAAAATTGAATGTCAAGGCTTGATTTTTTTCTTCAGTTCCTCCAGCTTGAGAAATGCTGAGCGTGTTTTTCTTTTTGGTTTTTTGATTCCAGATCTTTACACATTTTGTTGTAATATTTGGCTTTATCTTCTCGATCTGATCTTGGAAATTTTCTATTCAGCTCTTGTTGTTGTTATGTGCTTTGGAGTTGGTTCCGACTCATAGCAACCCTACACAGGGTTTCTGAGGCTGTAAATCTTTACAGGAGCAGATCGCCTCATCTTTCTTCCACGGAAACGCTGGTAGTTTTGAACTTCTGACCTTGCGGCTCGCAGCCCGATTCGTAACCAATACGCTACCAGAGCTCCATATTCAGCTCTTGGACCTCCTCATTTCTTCCATTTGCTTTAGCATCTCTACACTGGAAAGCAAGTTTCAGTGTCTCTTCTGACATCCATTTTGACCTTTTCCTTCTTTCTTGTCTTCTCCATGACTTTTATTCTTTCTTCATGTATGATGTTCTTGATGTTATCCCACAACTGTTCTGGTCTTCAGTCTTTATTGTATCAAATCTGTTCTTCAGATGATCTCTAAATTCAGTTGGGATATGTTCAAGGTCATATTTTGGCTTTCATGGACTTGTTTTCATTTTCTTCAGCTTCAGTTTGAATTTGCATATCAGTAATTAATGGTCTGTTCCACAGTCTGCTCCTGGCCTTGTTTTCACTGATGATATGGAGATTTTCCATCTTCTCTTTCACAGATGTAGTCAATTTGATTTCTATGTATTCCATCTAGTGAGGTACATGTGTTTAGTCGTCTCTAAGGCTGTCTAAAGAAGGTATTTGAAATAAACAGATCATTGGTTTTGCAGAATTCTATCATGCATTCTCCAGCATTATTTCTATCACCAAGGCCATATTTTCCAAATACTGATCTTCCTCTTTGCTCCCGACCTTTGCATTCCAATTACTAGTAATGATCAATATATCTTGATTGCATATTTGATCAATTTCAGATTGAAGAAGTTGATAGAATTCTTCTATTTTATCCTTACTGGTTTTAGTGGTTGGTGCATAACTTCAAAAGTTGATGTCGGGAATGCAATATGGTGCTTTCTCAGAAGGTTGAAAATAGAAGTACCTTATGATCCAGCAATTCTTCTACTAGGTATTTACCCACAAGAAATAAGAGTCATAATGCAAGTAGATATATGCACACCAATGTTCATAGCAACACTATTTACAATAGCAAAAAGATGGAGACAGCCTAAGTGCCCATCAACTGAAGAATGGATAAACAAACTGTGGCACATACACACAATGGAATATATTATGCTACCTTGAAGAATAACAAAGCAAGCCACCACATAACATGAATGAACTTTGAGGACATTATGTTGAGTGAAATTTGTCAGTCACAAAAGGAGAAATACTACATAGGACCACTACTGTAAAAGACTAAGAAAAAGAACCCATACTAAAGGGGGGGGGGTCTTTGCTGGCTACTGGGATGTGGGGGGCGGGGTGAAGGGAGGGAGGGGAATTTGGAGCACAGGGTATGGAATAGACACAGGAGAGTTTGGGTGCTAGGGAGGGGGACAATGTATAAGAAAGGGGAAGGTAATGGAAGAAAAAAGCGGATGGGAAAACAATTAGGCAGGTTTACATGGGATAAGTGTGACAGAGGTAAATAATGATGTATGCACATCCTTGGAACAACAGGGCTCTGGGATACAGGATTGAGACATGGTTGGAATGCGCAAAAGGGGGGAAATAATGTTAAGATGCTTGGCTGTCTTTTGAATCTTGGTTTCCCTTGCATATCATTATAAAATAGACACTTGAGGGGGAGAGAAAAGAATAACCAGAAATATTACCATGGAAAGCTTGTAAGTCCGTCATCTGTTATAATAGATTGGAATATCTAAAATGGGGCTACAACGTGCCCAGTGAAGGAGGCTTCCTGGGAAGCCTCTACATTACGTAAGACCATAGGTGGAATCCTGAACTGCATCCAGAATCTTCTGAGGGGAAATTTCCACTTGAAAGGACAAGCAGACCAGCCTGGAGCTGCTAGAAGAACAGAAGCTCTTTCTTGAAAGAAAGACCAACAGGAAAAATACAAAACAATATAGGCAGTCTGACTGATTACTACAAGAGTAAGCAAGTTGCTCGCCCATGATACATAAAGGTAAGTGATCAGGTCCCCTCAGGGCAAACCCCTTCCAAGACTAAGACTCAATAGGAATACACACTCTGATTGGTGATCACATTCATCACCAGTAAGGGGAAGTGAGGGAAAAACAGCCATGAGGCTGTGAGCTAAGCCCTACAACGTTCAATAGACTCTTATGAACCCGGGTGGAGACCTGGTCGGCCAGCATTGTGGCAAGACCTGTGGACTCTTGGGCCTAGAGTCAGTGACATAGCCACCGAGTGCTAGAGTGGAGAGTGAAACGTCCAGCTAATAAGAAGAGAGGGCATATGCACAAGAACACCCACACTTGCAGATAATACCCACTTGACCTGGCTTCAATGACTGGATGATCAGAGCTCAACTAGAAGAAGAAAGAAGAGGAAAAAACAAATAATCTGATACAATTTGATGAACTTGTCCTACACCTATGGATGCAGTAGCTCAAAAGAGGGAACAAATCTTTACAGTGAGGATCTTTCCCACCCCCTCCATACACAGAGTGGACAGGGATGGGCAACTTGGACATTGGCTACCCAAAGTGTGTGTGTGGGGGGGGGGGTACAAAGACAAGAAGTGACTGGCTTACAAGCTTTCAAGAGGGAATCTAGATCCAGAGGGTGTGGAGGAAGGTAGAATCTTCACTGAGTAGTATCCAATCTGTCTGGGCGGGGCTGATGAAAGGAGATGCGAATAGGTCTCTTGTGATACAATAGTGAATAATTGTTATTAAGACTGATTGTGAGGGTTGAAATGTAAAGGTAGATGTTTTGTAGCAAAAGGAGGGGAGTGATTGACTTTGCAGTCTAGGAGCGGAGGTCTCTGGGACCATCAAGGGAGAAGAGCGAAGAAGGCGACCCTACTCAGAGAAGCAGTGATGCCAGAGATAGAGGCAGAGACGGTGAGGTGGAGAGATGGAATGGCTGGAGACTTTAGACCTGGAGAGGGAGAGGGGCTGTGTGCTGATGACCGGGGGACAGGCTTGCAAGGTATATATAACCTTTGGTTGGTTGATGATGCATGGAGGGGATTGTAACCATGGCAATGAAAAGATATACGGCAGAATGAATGTAAAGCTAATGTTCTCTGATGTAAACTATCACATAATTCACAATAAAACATTAAAAAAAAAAAAAGGTGATGTCGAATTTGTTTTGGGGATATGCACTTAATAGAAAGAAAGCATTTATCCAAATGTCTAGGTTCACCATATACCATCAAGATGACAGCAATCCTAAAGAAATGGATCTGATCATTGTTGAAAGCCAACTTTTATTTTTCAGAGCTATAAGGCATTGTAGGCAAACAAGCTTCATAAGCATGTGTCCTGTGCAACCACATAAGATCCTCCACTTAGGAGGGCCCTGTGCTTTTTTAATGCACTACAACTATGATCACTGCCTTAAAGGCATTCTGGTGGTACAGTGGTTAAGCACTTAACTGCCAACCAAAAGGTTGGCAGTTGGAACCCACCAGCTGCTCCTAGGGAGAAAGATGCAGCAAGTCTTCAACTTGATGGCAATGAGCTTACCACCACCTTTATATTAATTTTTGAATAGCAGACCATTCATTTTCACTTTGTACTGTAACTTACACACGTAGCCAGTCCTGACTGCTAGAATAGTGAAAAGTATTTCAGAATGGATACCACTGGGCCCACAGGCAAAGATTTTTTTTAAATGTGGGGAGGAAATATGCACATATAAGACAAAGTTAGAATTTCTAGACTATTATTTAATGAAATATGACAGCAGAGAAAACATTTAAATCTTGCACCATTATTAGCATTTGTTCAAATTATAGTTAAGCAAAACGGATGCAAGTATGCATCCCTTAGTCATGGCAGTGTTCCAGCAGAATGTCACATTCACCTGGGACAGTGCCATCATTCAGTGATCATCAGAATTACAAGTCCTACACACAGATCATGTTAGACTTATTCGAGTTAGGATGACCCAATTCACAACAGTCTGTTTTTCTGTTTGTTTGTTTTTTATGTGTGTTGGGGGCTGTTTCTGGTATATCTTATTGTTAGTAATATATAATTTTCTGATGTTTTCATTCTCAAATATTCATTCACAGATTTTCAAAGATTGGCTTTATAAAAATCAGATAATAGAAGGTAATAATAAAGAAAACCGAAATAAAAAGAAATTGAAGTATTTGCCTTACATCAAAACTGATTTCTGACAGAATTATTAGAAAGGATGGAGACTACCTGTCCAGACAACTTGCTTCAGATTGCTTCCTGAGTATTATTGTTTTATCTAAGTAGTCCCTATCTTCAGTCAAAAAGAAAGAAATCCCTTTGCCTACCTCCCACTCTGATTCAGTCTACTGATTGATACTGTCCCATCACTTTGAACTTCAAATCAGCAATGATATATATTATGCTCATATAACATATATTTTCCTAAACATTCCAACACTTTAAAGAGTATAACATCATGAACTTTAAATTTTATATGCATAAGGTATATAAGAATACTCTCCCTTATTTAATTGTTACCTTTTTGTCTCTGTATCCAATTCATCAAAATTGTCAACAGGCCAATATTTTCCATTTGTTCTGAGCATTTGGATAATGACCATTGTTTTATATAGTTTCATAGAGGTGGGGATAAATTGCACTGGAATTTCAAAAATTCCTCGAGGAAGTAATAAAATTCCTGTTAAAATACAATATATTTTAAGGTGGAAAGTATTTGTAAAACATAATTTTAGCAATATAAAATAACCACTTTCTTTAGTGATTATCAGTTTTTCAAAATCATATCTATAGTATATTAAATTATAAAAACACAATTCACTTCATTATTTTATCTCAAATGTCATCAACTATGTTAAAAAAAAAAAAAGTATTTTATCCTGAGGCAACAAGTTTCTCTTAAAGAGACTGAAAAATTCAAAACCAAACCAAATCTGATTCATTGCAATCCCAAGTGTCCAGAAAGGTTGTGACTGTTTTGACAGCAGACAGGCAGACTTTTCTTCTTAGGTGAGTTCAAGTGGGTTTGAACCAGTGAGTTTTACACCATTTGCACCAAAAAGATCTGAATGACCGTTGAATGGAATGAGAGGACTTTTCCAGCGAGATAGAGTCATAAAACATATGAGTCTTTTCAAGTCTTACACATTTTAAAAAGGAGAGAAGTACAGGATTTTGACCCTTTTACTCTGGAGCTCTGGTAGCGCAGTGGTTACGAATTGGGCTGCGAACCTTAAGGTCAGCGGTTCGAAACTACCAGCCGCTCCGCGGGAGAAAGATGAGGCTTTCTACTCCCGTGAGGATTTACACCCTTGGAAACCCTGTACAGGGTCGCTATGGGTCGGAACCGACTCTATGGCACTTAACAACAACAACAACCCCAGACCATAACAGGTCCAGGTTTCTGCTTGCAGCCCCCAAATCTCTTCCAGTAAAAACTGTTTCATTATTTAACTTATCTTTGAGGATAATTAATAAAGGCTTATTTGTGAAAGAAATGGACCCACGTGTCCCTGTTGTGACAACCAGAAGACAAAACAACTGATATCATTTTTTGTGTTTTGAAGAACCAGACTTTTCAGCATTTACTTCGTCATAAAAATTACCCAAGAGGCTAGTCAGATTGGGAGCCTGAAGAGCCCCAACGTCAGAGGGTTTGATTTTTTTCAGTCTAGGATCCACCCAGGAATCCACATTTTTAATACAGAGGAGCCCAGGAAGACCTCTCTGAGAAGGTGACTCTTGAGCAGAACACCCATTAAGAAACCACAAAGACATTCATGAAGGAATATGGCATAGCACTATAGGATCAGCACTGGACTGCAAACCACAATGTCAGCAGTTCAAACCCAACTGTTTCTATAAAAGGGTCGCTATAAAAGGGTCACTACGAGTCGGAACTGACTCAATGGCACTTAACAGCATATTAGTCAGGATTTGGAAGATATAAGAATAAATCAAAAAGTATTGTTACAAAATCATAGAAAATTCATTCAACAAAAATTATAAAATGTGACGCTACTATTTCTTGACATTTCCTTCATATGGGTCTAACACGGTTCTGAAGACAGTGTTGCCCACTATAGAATAAGCACTGCTCTGCAAGGTCAATTTGAACCACAAGGCTGGTGGTTCAAACCCACCAGCTGCTCCTCAGAAACTTTATACAACATCAGTATGAGTTGGAACTGGCTTGACCGCACTTAAAACAACAACAACCCTTCTCTAAGAGTCCTGGAATTGCACTGTTGGATAAGCACTAGAATGCTATCCTGGTGTGGTGCTGTAGGATAAGCACTGGACAGTTAACCATGAGGTTAGTAGTTCAAACCCACCATCTGCTCCTCAGAAACCCTACAGAACTGACTCAATGGCACTTAAAAATAACAATTATTATGAAAAGTCAAGACTAGATATACACCCAGAAAGCAAAGTTCTGATAATTGCTGGAGAGGTGAGGGTTAGGGAAGGGTAATAACTTTATAGATAATAGACATTTGTTATTTTTTTGTTGATGGGAAATACAAGACCAAATATGTGTGAAGTCAGCACAACTTGACCAAGGTAAATACACTATGACGTGCACAAGGAAAAAGGGCAATTTCAAAAAATGTATAACATATGAGTACAGTTTTGCAACAATTAAGACAACCACAAAACATGTGAAACGTGTGGTTACATAGGTGATCTGGATGCATATATATATATATATATATATAGATAGATAGATAGATAGATAGATACATACATACAAAGGCATATTCAAGTAAATGTACATACATGTATATATATTTATATTCATGTTTGAGTGTTCTGCGTATACATCCATATATACAAGGAGATTTCAAAGAATTCATAGAAAAATTCTACTATCTTTTAATTCCATTTTTCCATGAACTTTTTGAAGTTCCTCCATGTATAACAAACCACATAAGGGGCATACTTACAGAGGTTTCCTTATCATATCAAACCAACTCATGCCATTAGTTTACTGGGTTAAAAGGCTTGGTTGGGACCAGACTCAGATATAGTACAACTTAGTCAATTGATCTATATTCTAGTTTGTTGAGTAGTGCCTGGGATCCTAAATGCTTGTGAGTGACCATCTGTGTTACAACTACTGTCTCTATTTATATGGAGCAAAGGAGCATGAAGGAAACCAAAGACACAAAGAAGAAAATAAACCACAAGTGTAATAACCCACACTAACCCCAGCTTCTTCTAACCGAAGACCAGAAGAACTGCTTGGATACTACTGACTGTTCTGATCAGGAACACCATAGAAAGTTCCTGGTAGAATGGAAGAACCATGTAGAATAAAACTCAAAATTTATTTAAAAGACCAGCCCTTCTGGACTAGATAGATATTAGAGAGAGACTAGAGGAACCCCTGAGACTATTGCCCTAAGATAACCTTTGAACATGGATTTAAAGCTACTTATGCAGGTCCTTTTCAATCAAATAATAGATTGGCCTAAAAAATAAATAGTGTCAGTGATAGTAATGTGTTCCCTTAAACAATGAACTATATGAGACCATATAGTCAACATTTACTCAAAAGCAGAGATGAGAAGGCAAGGAGGGGAAGGGAAGCTAGATGGAGGCAAACAGAATAAACAGAATGAAAATGCTGACATATTGCAAAAACTATAATCAATGGCATGAAATAATCTACATGAAAATCATTAAAGAGGGGACATCATTTGCTGTGTAAACTTTCACCTAAAACACAATAAAATCCTATTAAAAACAGAAAATGGGATTAAAAAATGAAGACAATAATATAGACAACCCGGAAAGATTTACACCCTCGGAAACCCTGTACAGGGTCGCTATGGGTCGGACCCGACTCGACGGCACTTAACAACAACAACAACATATGAGACATAAGGAGCTCTGGTAGCGTAGTGGTTACGAATTGGGCTGGGAACCACAAGGTCAGCAGTTCGAAACTACCAGCTGTTCTGAGGAAGAAAGATGAGGTTTTCTGCTCCCATAAAGATTTACGGCCTCGGAAACCCTGTACAGGGTCGCTATGAGTCGAAACCGACTCCACGGCACATAACAACAAACAACAGCAACATATGAGACATATGAATGGTAGCAGGCAGGGATAAGGGAGGCATGCCATTGAAAACTGAGAGCTATTAATGTACATTTATGCTAATAGAAATCATCCAATAAAGATAAACTATTTTATTATGAACAAGGCAGGGAGGAGAGTTTCTGAAAAAAATCATATAGGGGAGTAGGTATGGGATTTAATAAACTATTGGATGCCTGACTATAAAAGCATAGAGGGTTTTGCTGCTGATAACAGGTGGGAAGGCAGAGCATATGGATGCAGATAATATTAGGTTGGTAGATGTAGTAAGGATCTCTGGTAGCACAGTGATTACGAATAGGGCTGTGAACCGCAAGGTCAGCAGTTCGAAACTACCAGCTGTTCCGTGGGAGAAAGACGAGGCATTTTGCTCCTGTAAAGATTTAAAGCCTTGGAAACCCTGTACAGGGTCGCTACTAGCTGGATCCGACTCCACGGCACATAACAACAACAACAGATGCAGTAGAAGGACCAGATCATTTGATTGATTTTCCTCTTTGTGCTTAGTGAAAGAAGAGGGAAAAATATCAGTTGAAAGTTAGGAAGAGAGAAAGTGCTGAATGTCACTAGTAGTGTGGCCTGATTTTAATTCACTGTTGTTGTTGTTATGTGCCGTGGAGTCGGTTCTGAGGAACAGCTGGTAGTTTCAAACTGCTGACCTTGCGACTTGCAGCCCGATTCGTAACCACTATGCTACCAGTGCTCCTTTTAATTCACTGTAGTGAATTAAAATATACTAGAGCAAATTTTACTAAAGGAAAACAATATTCCACAAAAAAGGGGAAATTTTTGTCTCCCTTTCTCTCTATCCACCCATCTATGAATCTGTATTCATTTCCTAGGGCTGCAGTAGCAAAATACCACAAATTGCCATGAATTGTGGGTGGCTTTAAACAACAGAAATGTATTGTGGCACAATTCTGGAGTCTAGTAGTCCAAATTCAGGCTATCAGCAGGGCCATGTTCACTTTGAAGATGCTAAGAGAAGATGCTTTCTTGCCTCTCCAGGTTTCTGATAAAAAACAAATCAGTTGCTGTTCAGTGGATTTCAGTTCAGGTATCCTCGTGTGTTTCTGAGAACTGTGCTCTATAGGGTTTTTATTGCTTTCAGAAGCAGATTGCCTGGCTTTTTTCCCAAGGTTCCAACTGTTAATCTTTCAGCTCGCAATCACGTATTTAACCATTTGTGCCACCCAGAGACTGTTGTTATTGTTGTTAAGTGCCACTGAGTTGGTTCAGACTTATAGCATAGGGTTTCCGAGGAGCAGCTGGGGAGTTTGAACCCTCGACCTTGAGGCTCAAACTGACCTTGCAGTCCAATGCATTATCCTGCAGTGCCACACCAGGTCTCCCAGGGACTCCTAGCCATATGCATTTCTTGGCATTCTTTGGCTTGTACATGCATCGGCACATGGCTGCCTTCTCCCTGTGTGTCTCTGAGCTTTTCCCTCCTCTTCAAAAAGAAAACCACCACTTAATGGAGTGCTGGTGTGGTACTGTGGCTTAATGCAGCAGACTGCAAAGCCATTTGAACTGCAAGGTCATCGGTGCAAGCTCACCAGCTGCTCCTTGGAAAC